CAGGGCATGGTATCTGGTATCACCCACAGGGCTGGCAGATGACATAGCCTGGAAGTGCGGGGATATGAAGACTTCCTGGGGTGGATTTTTTTTTACTTTTCATTTTACATTGGAGTATAGCTGATTAACAATGTTGTGATAGTTTCAGCTGCACAGCAAAGGGTCTCAGCCATACATATGCATGTATCCATTCTCCCCCCAAACTCCCCTCCCATCCAGGCTGCCGCATAACATTGAGTAGAGTTCCCTGTGCTATACAGGAAGTCCTTGTTGGTTGTCCTTTTTAAATATAGCAGTGCGTACATGTGCACCCACTGGAGTATAGTTGTTTTACAATATTGTGTTAGTTTATACTGTACAGCAGAGTGAATCAGCCATATGTATACATATATCCCCTCTTTTTTGTATTTCCTTCCCATTTACGTCACCACAGAGCACTGAGTAGAGTTGCCTGTGCTATACAGTAGGTTCTTATTAGTTATCTATTTTATACATAGTATCAATAGTGTATAGATGTCAATCCCAATCTCCCAGTTCATCCCACCCACCTCCCTTTCCCCCTTGGTATCCATACATTTGTTCTCTGTGTCTCTATTTCTGCTTTGTAAATAAGATCGTCTATACCAATTTTTTCAGATTCCACATATATGCGTTAATATACAACACTTGTTTTTCTCTTTCTGGCTTACTTCACTCTGTATGACAGTCTCTAGGTCCATCCATGTCTCTACAAATGACCCAATTTCGTTCCTTTTTATGGCTGAGTAATATTCCATTGTATATATGTACCACATCTTCTTTTCCGTTCCTCTGTTGATGGACATTTAGGCTGCTTCCATGTCCTGGCTATTGTAAATAGTGCTGTGGGGCTTCCCTGGTGGCACAGTGGTTAAGAATCCGCCTGCCAATGCAGGGGACACGGGTTCGAGCCCTGGTCCGGGAAGATCCCACGTGCCTCGTGGGATTGAGCCCACACGCCACAATTACTTGAAGCCCCCGCGCCTAGAGCCCGTGCTCCGCAACAAGAGAAGCCACCGCAATGAGAAGTCTGCACACCGCAAGGGAGAGTAGCCCCCGCTCGCCGCAACTAGAGAAAGCCCGCAGGCAGCAATGAAGACCCAACACAGCCAAAAATAAACAAATTAATTTATTAAAAAAATAGTTTTTCAAACAGTGGCAATGTGGCAAAAAGCCATTATAGCAAAAAACCTTTATAGTAAGAAATCATCAACGAGACAGTGTTTTCTGAGGCAAGTCTATTTCCCTTGGACCAGATCCCTGTACTGAGGCAGCTGAGGCTTTTGTGTGGGTTCCAAGCCTTCTAGACGGAAGTCACAGATATTTTCCCGATGGCCATTGGGCCCTGGGCCTGTGACATCCGGAAGCTGGTGGTCACTCCTCCCTCCTGTGTGGGAGTCTGGCTGGGATGAAAGGGGCTGTGCTGGGGGAGCGTGGCCAGGTGGGGAAGCCTGATGCAGAGGCTCAGAGCAGAGCTCATCCACGCAGACATGTGTCCACTGCGTGTGGAGATGCCAGTGGTCAGGGGGCCCGTCCTGCCTCAGCCTGGCCGTCAACCTGCAAGATGACATTGCCCTCTTTGACCCCGGGTTCTTCATCTGCTATGTTGCTGTGAGCACACCGTCCTGCCAGCCTTATGGGAGCGCCGTGCCAGATGCTGTGTGCTAGAGGTTCCCAAACTCTGCTGCCCGGTGGCACCCCGGGCATTCTGATGTCATCAGCATGGGATACCGACCGCTGGAGCACAGGAGCTTTGAGAGTTCCCGAGGGGATTCTGGTTAGGGCTTGCTTGCCTGCTTGCTTCCCAAGGGGGGCAAGCTTGTTCCTTCTATGGGGGGAGGGTAGGGGTGTGTCCAGGGGTCGGGCCAGAGGGGTGGCTTAGGTGGCCTGCCCACCCCTTTGGTGGCATCGTGTGCAGGGGACATGAGCAGTACCCTGCTTTTCTCCCGACCCCCTGCTTTTGCTCCCGGTTCTTCAGAAGTGGCATTTGGGTTTTTGGTCTTTTTGTATCTTGTTGTCCATACTTTGCCCCAACTGCATGCAGTTATTTTTAGTCCCTTATAGTTTCTTTGTGTTTTGTTGCTCCAGGAGACGTTTATCCGGGTGCAAACGCTGCAGCAACGTGTCCCAGGTCCCAGCCTGTCTCCATCTGAGGAGCCCAGGCTTGGGCTTGCTGGAACTGGAGCATCTCCAGGTTCTCAGAGGAGCTGCCATGTGTCATGGACCATTGTCCCCTTTTGGCTGCTCAGCGTCTGGACCCTTCCTATTTGATGGGAATCTGAAGGCAGGTGGGAGACAGGACCCCACCTCACACTGTAGAGGCTGAGAGGGGACAGAGTCGCATTTCCAGCTCTCCGGCACAGAGAGCTCGGACGTGCAGCAGGTGGCCCGGGTTGACCAAAGCCGTGTTCGTATCCAAGACTTTCAACTTGGAGAGAATGACAAGAATGTTCCAGAGCAATCCTGATTAATCACGGCAGCCGGGGTGAACATGGGAACCCCGTGCCCACAGACTCCACTGGTGTGGCCACCAGCATCTGATGGTGCCAGCCCCAGGGGCACATCCTAAGAAGATGGTTCCCGTGGCTGGATCCCAGTTCTGCCCGGCCTCGCTTGTCCCTCCCCTTCACGAGTTCCCTTTTTAAACAGCTTATTTGGGGGAAGATACAAATCACGCGCTCCACAATTCACCCATCAAAATTGTGCAATTCGGCCGCGTTTAGTACATTTATTACAATGTTGTGCAACCATCGCCACTCTCCAGTTTCAAAACATTTTCATCACCCCCAAAAGAAACCACATCCCATTAAGCAGTGCCTCTCCACGCCCCTCTGCCCTCAAGCCCCGGCAACCACCGCTTTGCTTTCTGTCTCTATGCATTCGCCTGTCCTGGACATCAGTGCAGTCACACAATATGTGGCCTCTCGTGTCCAACTTCTCTCACCTATGTAATGTTTTCAAGATTCATCCGTGTGATAGCCTGTATCAATATTCCACTGTATGGACGTACCATATTTTTAATCTTATTCATCAGCTGGTGGACGATTGGGTTGTTTCCAATTTGGGGCTATTATGAGTAACGCTGCTATGGACATTCCTGTACAGGTTTTGGTGTAGAAGAGCGGTAGAAGGTAGAATCGTGGTTTCCAGGGGTTGGATGGTGAGGAAAATGGGAGTTATTTAGCAGCTATAGAGTTTCTTTTTTGCAAGATGAAGACAGTCTGGAGATTGGTTGCACTGACTGCAGAGTGAATATGGTGTTAGGCGTATTTAAAATGGTAAATTAGATGTTATACGTATTTACTAAAATTTACTGAATAATTCTTACAATTAAGGATGATGGGGTTTTTTCCTTTAAAAACGTAGCTCAGACAAATCATTCTTAGTGCACAGCCTCAAGATTTTGTAGGCCCCAAAGTCAAAGGTAAAAGGCAGCAGGCTACTTTCTATATTTCTGACAGGAAGGCCATACAGGAGCTCAAAAATGTCATGGAGCTGAAATTTTCACAATTCTGTGTGGAAAAATGATAATACATGCAGCAGAGTTATGGATAAGTTATTTCAAGGAACAAGAAATATACAGAAAAAAACTTACTCAAGGGATCCCTGGTGGAGAAAAGATCTGGAAATACCAGAACTTCTTTGACGTTAATAAATGTCTCCTGAATGATCAAATAAATGATGAGATCATTCTGATTTCACTCCCAGCACTAATTCTCTTGGATGACAGATGTGTGTGGACAGATTCAGGAAAACAATAAGAAATGTTTATTCTGCAAGATTTTACTTTACAAGAAAGAGTTGAAAATCTAAGTGATGTTTATTTTTGTTTTCCAGGAAATTATATATAATAGTATTTTCTGTGAACCGTTTTAACTTTCCATAAGATCTTTGACTCAGAAGACGTCGACTGGCGATGAGTGTAAACCACAAGCTGTCTTTCTTTGTGTGTGTGTGTGTGTGTTTGTCTTTCTTGTCTTTCGATCTACACACTGCAAGACAATTGTTGAAACCTCAAATACATTTTCATTTCAATAAAGTATCTGCAAACCTGAAGTTCTTTTTCGTTGTCTGATTAAAATAGAGGCTTCAAAGAGCTTCATCTCTCTCTCACACACACACACACACACAATTATTCATTAAAGAATTCATCGGTGAGATAGCTAGTGGGAAGCAGCCGCATAGCACAGGGAGATCAGCTCGGTGCTTTGTGACCACCTAGAGGGGTGGGATAGGGAGGGTGGGAGGAGGGAGACGCAAGAGGGAGGGGATAAATGTATACGTATAGCTGATTCACTTTGTGATACAGCAGAAACGAACACACCATTGTAAAGCAATTATACTCCAGTAAAGATGTTAACAAAAAAATAAATTAATCCCTTGTCTGGAAACTGGTTTTCCTCCCCTCCCCACCCACCCCCTTCTCCCCAGGAACCAGAGGGCAGGTTCTGGCGGTTGGGTCCCGCCCCAATTCCCTGATCCGCCACAGTCTTCATCTTCATTCTGACCCCTGCTGGCCACGGCCGGGCACTTTTCTCAGCTCTCTCTGTCTCTGCCCCAAGTGTGCAGGGCTGGGAACAGGGCCAGTGAGAGAGGTGACTCAGGCAAAAGCCAGGGTGAATCCTGTCTTGATTTTTAAATTTGATATATGGCACTGATCTTGACTTTTAAAAATAGTTCACAAAAATATTATTTATCCCACTTCCTGAGATGTTTGGTGCCCCCTTCAATTGTGTGAATCTCCCTAGTTGTGTCCCTCGAGTGGCAACATGGTCCATCGCTCATTCACACAATGACCTACGAAGTCAGGAAGGTCAAGGGAAAAGTGTGCACTACATCGGAATAAAGCAAAGCAAGAGATTTTTTAAAAATATTTATTTATTCATTTAGGCTGCGCCGGGTCTTTGTTGCGGCACGTGGACTTCTTAGTTGCGGCATGTGGACTTCTTAGTTGCCACATGCACGCGGGATCTAGTTCCCTGACCAGGGCTCGAATCTGGGCCCCCTGCATTGGGAGCGCAGCGTCTTACCCACTGGACCACCAGGGAAGTCCCAAAGCAAGAGATTTTTAAATCAAACCTTAGCTCCCCTTACTTTTACCAGTCCCCACAATCCTGTAACAAGGGATAAGTTATTGCCACTTCTGCTCACACCTCCGAGGGTCCCTCTTCCTTCCTGGGCCATCCCCTCCACCAGGTAGACCTCTGGCCCTTTCTCGGGACAATTCAGCTCCCACCAGGTTCAACTCCTCTGTCAGGTGTAACACGGACAGGAATGAAACACAAGAGAAGGTCCTGCGTTGCGGCGCCAGAAGGCCAAATGGGACTGTAGTCAGTGAAATTCCCATCTCCCAGTCAGACCGGTCACCGGCTTGGAAGGGAGGAGGTCTCAGGATTCCGAGCAATGGCAGCTCCCAGGAGGTACCCTCCTAGGACTGCAGAACCTGATGTCAGCCTCTAGACAGGGCAGGCCCAGAAAGCCCCTTCCTAGCCCCAGTCTCAGCATCTGGACAGCTTGGGCCTCCATCTGCCTCAGGACATCACAGAGCTGCCCCAGTGGAGTGAGGGTACCCATTCTCTATGGTCACGTGTTTGCCAGGCGCACCACCTGGCCAATGATATAGCCGAAGAGTGTCTGTTCAAGGGACTTGTGCCTGGAAATCCACGTGGAGTTCAAAAGAATGAGAGTGGACCGTGCCAACAGCGCCAGCAACTACCAGATGTCCAGAGGATGGGAGTGTAGCAGGAACACTGGAGACGGGAGCAAAGGATGTCCACGCCAACACGTCATTCGACTAACCTTGACAATGGCAAAATAAGTGCAATCATACAAAGTATGTTCTCTGACCATCGTGGAATCAAACTGAAAATCAAGAAGAGAATGATCATAGGAAAATCTCCAATCACTCGGTGAAAGAACACCACACTCCTAGAAAATATAAATCAATGAATCGTCAAATACATACCCAATGTATTTATTTTAGGTGTCTTTCTCCAGCACTGGGCTGTCGCTCTATGGAGCAGAAAAGGCTTCAACCTGGGGTCCTCATTACCTAATAAGTAGCTTCAGCACTCAGGGGATAGGGAATGGAGAGCAGATGGTAGGTACGTGAGGGCTACATGCCCTGCGGAAAATGCACTGGTAACAGACTCGAGTGGAAAGAAACAGGAATCACAGACCAGGGAGGAGGCTAGAATCCTTAATGTCGTGTTAGAAGTTTATGGCGAAATGAGGATGGAGAAAAAGACCTCATGGAAATATTGCTCGTAGTTTTCCTTCTAAGTACACTCTGTAGGACTCTTATTACCTGGAGCTGGAGACAGGATAGTAACATCTGTCCAGGCAGAAATGCATCGTTCTAGCTGTACTTCTAACACGTGTCTTAGACTCAAGCAAATATTGCGTCTCCTGGAAGTAAACACTCGAGTTAAAACACTTCTCACAAAATACATGAACAGAATGGAAAATAATCTGAAAAAAAATATGTATATATCACTGAATCACTTTGCTGTACACCTGAAACTAACACAATATTGTAAATCAACTATATTTCAGTAAAAAAAAAAAAGAACAGGATGGCAACTGCCTGGGGATGGTAGTAAAGATAAACGTGTTTCGTCAGTTTCTGACTAAAAGGGTTCAGTGAGGGCTAAGATAGATGAGTGAAAAAGACTGATGTCTGAATAAATCCTAGTTTCCGTGAACTTTCAGAAAATCAAAGTTGAAAAGAAAAATCTAAACTTTTCCCACAAAATAACTAGAATTCACAACAGACTTTTCATCAGCAACATTAAAAGAGAATGGAGACAGGAAGTAGATTACTTATTGCCTGAGACTGAGGGAGTTATTAGGAATGGGGAATGTCTGCTGTCTGGGGGGTTCTTCTGGGGGGTGATGAAAAATGTTCTACAGTGGAATGTGGGGATGACTGCACAACCCTGAATATACTGAAAACCACTGAAGTGTACCCTTTAAATGCATGCATTCTATGATATGTGAATTTTATCTCAATAAAGCTGTTGAAAAAATGTGTTTTGTTTATAGATCTTGCTGAGGGTGACAGGATTAGAAATGAAATATTGGGACCTCCCTGGCAGTCCAGTGGTTAAGACTTCGCGCTTCCAATGCAGGGGGCACAGGTTCCATCCCTGGTCGGGGAACTAAGATCCCACATGCTGTGCAACAGGGCCAAAAAATAAAATACATAAAAATAAATTTATAAAAAATATTTTAAAAAAAAGAATTTAAGGAAAAGAAATGAAATATAGGTTTGCCTACCAAGATCAACAATTTACAAAATAGTTTATGCTCTAGACAGTAAGGATATTAAAAACAGATATCAGCCCGGCCGTCACTCACTCACTCCTTGCTCCCTGCTCCTGGTGGCCCTGAGGGAGTGCGGGCCGGGGTCGGCCCCCAAGAGTAGGAGGTGCAGGGAGAACAGGTAAGGGACCCGGAGGGGGGTCCCCAGAGATGGCGTGGGCGAGCGGACACGGCCTGTGGACCCCTCCCCAGGGGTCCCGGGGCAGAGACGGCAGCCCCCATGCCCCCCCCCCCCCCCCCCCCCCCGGCGGCATGGTGTTTGGCCACAGAAAACGGCCTGCGAGTCGAAGTGTGGCGGCAGCGCACGTGCAGCAAGAATCGGGAGAAGCAGGAGGCAGCGAGGACAGGCCCAGGAGCAATGGCGTCCAAAGAGGAACAGGCAGTAACACTCTCAACACGGAACATGCCAACCAGGAGAATGAAAACAAGGATGAAAAGGGGCGAGATGCTGATAAAGGAGAGCCCGTGGCCCTTTGGAGGCTGGTGAATATTGCGTACCTAGAGGAAATCGTAGGCGGTTCTGCATTAGGCAGCCCATCCTGCAGTGTAGATGGGACATGACTCAGAGTCTTAGAGAGCCACAGCTAAGGATGAGAGAAGAGAATATGGAAAGGATTGGGGAGGAGGTGAGGCAGCTGAGGGAAAAGCAGTGAGTCATAGTCTGCGGGCAGTTAGCCCTGACCCCCCTCACCAGGACCATCATGGTGAGTTTTGCCTTATGCCTTGAATCCTGATGTCTTCCCTGAAGTTAGTAGGGAGACACACCGTTTCCTAAACTTACATGTTTGTGACGTACCTTTGTCGTAAACCTTGTGGTGTTACTTGTTTCTTGTGGGTCTCCTATTACCAGCTTCTAATTGAATGTTGTGTTTCTGACCCAATCTGTAAGTTTCTATCAGCAGGAGAGTTTTACCTGTTGCATGGAGAGATGTTCATTATATATTGTGAAGTCAATAAAGCAGTTTAAAAAAGCAAAACAAACAGATACTAGAGAGCTATTTACCAAGCCATTTTCCTCTGCCGCCAGGACACACAGCTGGCTTTGTTCCCCTGGGGTGTGGCCACGTCTCTGAGTTCAGGTCAATGGAATGGGGGAGTCATGGGAAACATCACCTCCAGACCTGTCTCAGAAAGCCCCTTCCCTATTCCCTTATCTGCCACCTAACGCCAAGATCCAGTAGAGTCCTGAGGCCCTAAGATGCTTGAGGCCTTCATCAGGACAGCCTGGGTGCCTGAGTGACCGCATGGAGTCGGGGGAGTATCGAGGACAGGGCTCTGGGAGTGGTCTGTTCCAGGGCAATGGAAGGTAGAACGAGTATTAAAACTTATACTGATATCTCTTCAGGGAGGTGGACTTTATCACTGATGTTATTTAGAAAAGTAGGTTCCGGGGAAGCTTCACTTTCACTCATCACTTTCAAATGCTCCACGGGCACTGCATCTCTTTACGCCCACACCCAGTGCAAATACTCCTGCTGCCCACTGTCAGCATCCACTGTGTTCTGAGGAGCACCCCCAGCTCCAGTCCCCCAACTTGGACTCATATGTAACAGTAATAACCATTTTTAGAGAAACCACTGAGATAATATAAAAATAAGTAGAAGGGGGCTTCCCTGGTGGCGCAGTGGTTGGGAGTCCGCCTGCCGATGCAGGGGACGCGGGTTCGTGCCCCGGTCTGAGAAGACCCCACATGCCGCGGAGCAGCTAGGCCCATGAGCCATGGCCGCTGGGCCTGCGCGTCTGGAGCCTGTGCTCCACAACAGGAGAGGCCACGACAGTGAGAGGCCCGCGTACCGCAAAAATAAATAAATAAATAAGTAGAAGGATGAAGATATATATGTGTTTTGGAGGTAAAGAAAGAATATCAGAGACTGAAAGAATTATTGGATTCAGATCTATTGGGACTTCCCTGGTGGTCCAGTGGCTTAGACATCACCTTCCAATGCAGGGGGTATGAGTTCCATCCCTAGTCAGGGAGCTAAGATCCCACGTGCCTCGCAGCAAGAAAAACAAAACAAAACATAAAACAGAAGCAATATTGTAACAAATTCAACAAAGACTTTAAAAACTGGTCCACATCCAAAAAAAAAAAATTTTTTTAAATATCTATTAATTGCCCACTTAGTCCTGTCTCTGAGCAGTGTATTTGCCAAATATACACATCTAACAACTGAATCCTATTTTAAAATTCATCATTATTATTATTTGCCTTTGAACACATATAGGAATATGCAGTGCACACCAATCCTGTTTTAATCTCATTTCAATTTCTCTTGTTTCCTTGGTCTCTACTCAAATGTCTCCTTCTCAGTGAGATCTTCCTTCATCATCCTTTTGTCAACTTCCACTTCTTCTCAACCGTCCTTGTTGTTTTTTTTTTAATTATTATTATTATTTTATTTATTTATTTTTTGGCTGCGTCAGGTCTTAGTTGCGGCACAGGGATCTTCACTGAGGCATGCAGCCTCTTCGTTGTGGCGTGCAGGCTTCTCTCTAGTTGCAGAGTGCAGGTTTTCTCTTCTCTAGTTGTGGCGCACGAGTTCCAGAGCGCTTGGGCTCAGTAGTTTGCAGCACGCAGGCTCTCCAGTTGAGGCGTGAGCTCAGTAGTTGTGGTGCAGGGGCTTAGTTGCCCTGAGGCATGTGGGATCTTGAAAGGTAGACTCTTTACCATTGGACCACTAGGGAGGTCCCTCAACCTTCCTTGTTTTTATGAGTATTGATAGCTAGGAGTGAAAATAATAAGTAGGGTACTTAGTATTATTCAAATGATACATATATAAAATGTACTTACATGTCTGTGGTTATATTATGTCAATGGTTCTCAGAAAAGGGAATCCATTATAACCGTAAAAACGATTAAGGACCACAAAAAAGAGCTTCTGTTTAAGTGGCTTATAAATTATCTACATTTACACAGAGTTTAAAATGGAGACATTTATAAAATATTTATTTTTTATTTAATCATAAGAATAATAAATTCATATATTTTAATATATAGCATATCTTTATTAAAAAGTTTATATTTTCCAAAAGGACAAAAAAAATTGTGTTGCATTGGGATTACCAATGTTTAGAGTTTTGCAAGTCTCTCTAACATATGACTGATAGAAAACTGCTGAAATATATTTTCTTCTGCATTAATTCTGTTGCTGTGTCACATATCACATAGCCTCTGGAAAACTCCAAAGAACAATTGTAAGAGAATGAGAGTGACCTGAAAAATAATAACTTAGTATCATTGTTAAAAGAGTTTGATCTCCCAGGACCCCTTGTAAGAATCTCAGAGTTCCACAGTGGCCCATGGACCATGCTTTGAGAACCACAGTATTACGTCAATGTGTGTGTGTGTGCGTGTGCGTGTGCGTGTGTGTCTGTGTGTGTATAAAAGTTCTCCTCTGGGCTTCCCTGGTGGCGCAGTGGTTGAGAGTCCGCCTGCCGACGCAGGGGACACGGGTTTGTGCCCCGGTCCGGGAAGATCCCACGTGCCGCGGAGCGGCTGGGCCCGTGAGCCGTGGCCGCTGAGCCTGCGCGTCCGGAGCCTGTGCTCCGCAACGGGAGAGGCCACAACAGTGAGAGGCCCGCGTACCGCAAAAAAAAAAAAAAGGTCTCCTCTGAAATCATTAAATATAGGCCAGAGGTGGCCTTGGATTAAAATGTGAAACATACACAGGGGATTCCAAAACCAAGGGTGCAGTTCAATATCATACACGTTACCAATATCATCATCTCAACAACTGAAAAAGAGAAATCTCCCTATTATATGACTAGATGAAGGTTATTTAATGAAACTCAATGACCATTCTTAATAAAAATTTAAAGTAAAATAAGTATAGAAGAAACTATTTAGGTACAAAAAAATAATTTACAATGCCAAGAGCAAGTGCAGTTCTAAAATAACGGATGCAGGAATTCCCTGGCGGTCCAGTGGTTAGGACTTGCTGATGTCACTGCCGAGAGCCTGGGTTCCATCCCTGTTTGGGGAACTAAGATCCCACAAGCCGCCTGGCACGGCCAAAACAAAGAAAATCATTTTAAAAATTAAAATAAAATAAAATAATGGATGCTAATGACATTTCCATTAAAATCCAGGATAAACAAAAATATGCCTGTGACATGCAGTCAGTCAACCTTGCTTTGTGTCAACCCCCCTAAGTAGCGACAAAAATAATAAAATGGACCAATCCTAAATATTTCCAAAGAAGACAGAAAACACATTCATTTGCAGAGAGCATGATTGTTTTGCCAGGAAACATGAGACAGGCTCTTGAAATACAACAAGCAGTATTAAGATAGTAAGATGAGATACTTTGTAAGGCTAGATGTATCAACAATGTGTAAAAAATACAGCAGCTTTTATATGCTCTCTGTGGTAGCTACTGGAAATTAGAGAGGAACTAGGATATCCCCAGAGTGAAATCAGCAAGGTGGCGGAAGTCCCAGCCTTTATTCCCCCGCAGAAAGATTGATTTAACAATGATACATGGGGCTTCCCTGGTGGCACAGTGGTTAAGAATCCGCCTTCCAATGCAGGGGATACGGGTTCGATTCCTGGTCCGGGAAGATTCCCACATGCCGTGGAGCAACTAAGCCCGTGCGCCACAACTACTGAGTCTGCGCTCCAGAGCCGCGAGAGCCACAATTACTGAGCCCACGTGCCATAACTACTGAAGCCCGCACGCCTAGAGCCCGTGCTCCACAGCAAGTGAAGCCACTGCAACGAAGAGTAGCCCCCGCTCGCTGCAAACAGAGAAAGCCTGCGCACAGCAACGAAGACCCAATGCAGCCAAAGATAAATAAATAAATATTTTAAAAACAAACCAAAAAAAACCCAATGATACATGGACCAAAACACCTTTATGAGAGGTCCAGATTCCCGTTAAAAAGTTTCAATACACCAGATGAGCACAATACGGACTCTCAGGTAAAGAAAGTGTGTCTCCATTTACTGGGACTTAAGATGAATTGGTTCTCTCAAGCTGACACAGTCCATATAGCCCAGGGCTGGCAAGTCAGGGCCACACCTCAAATTCTTTATTTTATTGATTGGTTTCTCTGCCTCTCTCTCTATTGATCGTGGGAAGGCAACAGGTCCCCAATTAGTGGTCTGCCACAGATAGACAAATTCTAAACTGGATTCTAGAAAGCTTTTCTCCCTTAAACAATACCGCAGCACATGACTTCTGCCCTCTTCCCACCTTCCTATCTTCATCAGTGTCTTCCGTTAGAGAAGCTAATGAGAAGGCAGCTGGCAAGAGAGTCTGAGATTGGGACTTCCCTCTGGCGAAGTGGTTAAGAATCCGCCTGCCAATGCAGGGGACACGGGTTCAATCTCTGGTCCGGGAAGACCCCATATGCCGTGGAGCAACTAAGCCCGTGCTCCACAACTACTGAGCCTGAGCTCTAGAGCCCACGAACCACAACTACTGAGCCCGCATGCTCTAGGGCCTGCGTACCGCAACTGCTGAGCCAACTGCTTCTCCTGCAATGAGGATCCCACGTACCACAACGAAGAGTAGTCCCTGCTCACCACAACTAGAGAAAGCCCGCACACAGCAACAAAGACCCAACACAGCCAAAACAAATAAATAAATAAGTTTAAAAAACCTTCATTTTCATTCAACCTGTCATGGACACCATAGGGTTACTCCTTTCTTCTCAAGGGGAAAGATGGCAAAAATCTGCTATTTCCATTATCATAAGTGGCACTTGTGTTCGCAGAGGACTCAAACTCCCCTATTCAGGAAGGGACCAGTGAAGGGGTTGTGACTTGCTGTCCTCAGGGGTCTCCTGCACCTGTGGGGCTGCCCTACAATGAGAACGTGTATCTCAAGGACACGCCAGTTCACCTTACTGTGGGAGGAGCAGGAAGAGTTGTTAACACCTGGCTTCACTGCTACAAGGCAGCTCTCCCTCGGAATTGCTTTCGGTAACATCCGTTCCCTAGGTAGAACAGACGTATTGGAACAGTGCCTCACCTTGGTCTGGCAGTCTTGACTCCTGCAGAAAAGGACTTCAGATGGAGGGAGAGTCCTTGACATTCAAGTGTCTTCTGCATGGTAAGGGAAACCTCTGGAACACTGCCTGGAAATCAGGAGCCCATGACAGTTTCATTAATGCAGTGCTCCTCCAATCTTTCAAATGCAGCCTACATGTTCTTCTTGACATGGGAGGGTTGGCAACCACAAAAGATCTGCTTATTGTAGTTTCTTTAGTCCCTACATCGTCCCTGACTTTATGTATGTATGGCCTTGCCACAGCTTTGGGGCCAGTGGAATATATGGGTATAATTTCATGCTAAAGGCTATGCGTGTCTGTTGGAATTTTTCTTCCATGTATTGAAATGTCTGGCCTCTGTCTTTGTGAGAAGAAGTCTCCAAAAGAATGTATATCAAGTAACAAGTAATACATCAACAATAAGTGCATCTGGCGTATATCTATATAATGGAATACTACTCAGCCATAGAAAAGAATGAAATTTTGCCATTTGCAACCCCATGTATGGACTTGGAGGGTATTATGCTCAGTGAAATAAGTCAGAGAGAGAAAGACAGATGTTGTATGGTATCACTTATATGTGGAATCTTAAAAATACGACAAATTAGTGAATATAACAAAAAACAGACAGACTCACAGGTACAGAGAACAAACTAGCGGTTACCAGTGGGGAGAGGGAGGGTGGGAGGGGAAATATAGGGGTAGGGAATTAAAACTATTATGTATAAGCTACAAGGGATATATTGTACAACACAGGGAATATATCCAATATTTTATAATAACTGTAAATGGAATAAAACCTTTAAAAATCGTGAATCTATTGTACACTTGCAACTTATAAAATATTGTACACCAACTATACTTCAATTTTAAAAAAAAGTGCATCTGGGTAATGGCATGATGGTGTTCTACTATACATATCATTACAATGTTTCTGCGTGTTTGAAGTTAATTCCAAATACAAAGTTAAAAATTGTATTATTGAGGCAAAATGTATTGTGATGAACACAGCTCTGCCTTCTCAGGAGAGGAGGCCTTGGGCCACCCAAATAGTGTACCTGATAGCACTGGCTCATGGGAGTACCCCACTGATGCCACATGGTGGATGAAGTCAATTTACAAGTGGATGATGGTCCCCAAACTGTAGGTTGTGTCTCAACTGGTACCTGGGCTGGATCCCCAGCACTATGAACAGCACAGGTAGCCCAGTGCACACACTGAGTAACTGTTATGGAGAATTCCGGAGCAAACCAAGCATTTCTGATATTTTCTTACCTCCTTCTGCCTAAGGTATGACACAGAAAAGAGATTTAAACATCACAAGGCCATCACTTCATGGCAAGAGTTGGTGAACAAGGTGAAGGAAACAACCTCTGATGCCCAGTGGATTTTTCCATGTTATATGCCTCCCTCTGCAGCTCACATCCTTGGCCCAAAGTCTGAGCTGCCTTAGGGGTAGGAGGGGGGCTGGCAGGTGGTCTGTGGGAGTAGTAAGGCGTGGCTACATCACTCACACGTTTCCCTGAGGAACCTCAGGGCATAAATCTCATAGGTTCCACAATGCAGAAAGGCATGGGAAGAAGGGATAAAATGGCTTCAAGGAGTTTGTAAGATAAGGTGTATTGGTGATTTGGGCACCAGCAGAGATGCTTGCAACTTTGCATGAAGACCAGACATTTATTTCAATTGTTGATTCTTTTTAAACACGTGATGTAAAATGTTACTGATAAATGTATCTCTTCATGAACTGAATGAGGACTCTTGATTTTACATATACATGGATACTGTGAATTATTGTTAAAATGAGGTACTTTTATTCATGTTTTTCACCTTCATGGATGTAAACTCTGAAAACACTTGTCACATGAATTTGCAGTTGCAGAATGAGTTTTGTGATAGCGATGCCATTCAATTTTTTCAATCATTCTGAACTACAGGCTAAAAAAGGCATCGTAATTTATCACTGAAAATGATTTTTAATAATTTATCAGTCAGTTAACTTAGGTCCTCTTTTGATTTTATTAGAGGAAAGAAGTAGAAATCACTTGATATAGAAAATTTTTTCTGTATCACCAAATAAGACTTTAAACTGTTTCTTTGAGGTCCAGGGATTTCTAAACGCAGAGTCAAGGCTCTGTGTTAAGATTCTGGTGGATGATGCAGAAACCTACTGTCTTTGGTAAATTGGAACAAGAGGGATTATGAAAGGGGAGGTGGGACATATGTTCATCAGTTCCAAGACCTAAAGAATCTCTGGGATTTCCAACCTCAGCCAAAAGGACACGAGTGACCAGAGCATCCCGCTGAAGACATGAGTCCCCAGAGTCCCTGTGTGCCTTGGGATAAATAATATCTATCTCCACCCACCACCTTCCTATACCCTTGTTCCTATAGTCAGTACTAAGAATATTAAAACCACAATAAGAGTCACTTAGAACTCGCCATAAAACAATAAAGTGATTGAAAAAGGAATGGTCTCTTCTTAACTGAGAGAAATCCCAATGGAACCAGAGTCAAATTCTGAAGCACAATTTGTTAGCATTTAGGATAAATAAACATTCCTCATAGGCAAAGTCAGGTAGACTCAGTTTGTTATTTGACTTTGGGAGAGAGGTGATTTACTTTGTTTGACTTAGTACTTATATTCTTTTCCTTTTTGTTACTTAAGTGTCATAGCTACTTTTACTGCCAGATACTGTGCTGGACATTTTTTTCCTGTATTATTTATCCTAAGACAAATCCCATGAAGTAGGCAGGATTATGTCACCTTATTTTACAGAGGGGGAAACTGAGGCTGGGAGGGTGAGCACCTTGCTGGTGTCCCCACACGTAGAAAGTGCCAGAGCTGGGCTTGAACCTGGGACCAAAGTCGGGCTCCTCCCCTCAACCCAATAAGTGAGTACGTGCTAATTTTGAGACATTCAAACAGCGCTTTAGAATTTAAAATAAGCCCACAGCTGCCATATTAGGATTCTAATGGGGGCTGCACTGAATTTGTAGAGTAGTGTGAGAACAGTTGACATCATTAAATGCTTTCATATTTCCTTGAAAGTAAGGTGGGTGCGTCCATTTACTTAGACCCCTTTCCTGGCTACAACTAGAAACAAAATTATGAAGTGAGAAAGCTCACCAGTGAAGGCAACATACAATAAAGGTAGGAAACCATCCACACACAAGGCTAGTAGGGAGGTTACAAGACAGAAGTAGTAAAATCATCTGTGTCCGCAATAAGCCCGTTAAGGGATACGCAAAACAATTAGATGTAAAATATGACGTCAAAAGCAGTCATTGTAATGGGAGGAGAGTACAGATGCAGGGTTTTTAAAATCCACTTGAAATTAGGAGATCAGCAACTTAAAACAATCATATATATATTATATGTGTGTGTGTGTGTGTGTGTGTGTGTGTGTGTGTGTGTGTGTGTGTATTTAGAGTGCTATACAAAAACCTCATGGTAGACCCCCTTTTTTATCCAGGAGTAAAGTTTCATGATGTTATCCTTAAAGGTTTGTATATTTCTAACTAAATATATTTCAATATTATTTTTGTTGCTATCGTTACCTTCGTCCATTTATCATTATTTCCATTAGGTTCTGTACTGGTAACAGCTGGTTTATCGATTGTGCTTGATGTTTATATGCTGATCTTGTATTCAGCTAACTTGATGAATTCTAATGAGTTCTAACAGCGTTTTCAGTAGATCGCCTTTAACTCCCCGATAGCTGCTCAGCTGTCGATAAGTGGTGACTGATTCCTTGATTTTTCCTTCTCCATGGCATTTTCCCCCTTGTCTGAGGAGGATATTTTAACAACATATGTCCCTCCTTTTTTGAAAGTAGACTTTTATTTTTTACAGCAGTTTTAGATCCGCAGCAAAATTGAGCAGCAAGTTCCCATATAGTCCCTCCCCCACACGGGCACAGCCTTCCCAACTATCTACAGCTCTCATCAGATAGTTCATTTGTTCCACTGATGAACCTACATTTGCAATAGGGAAGAACAAATCTGACTCCATGTTGGATCTGTTTCTTTTACTTCAACCTCTGTATTCTATTGCTTTTGCTGTAAGTTAATCACTAAAGAGATGTGCCTACAAGCTTAAATTACACGTCATGGCCCATCCCTGGGAACACAGCCTCCCACGCAATGAGAATTAAGCTAAAATACCTTTGTTTAGCTCACAGGAAACCTCCTGACAAAGCCCACCTGTGAATGGCTCCTGCGAGGAAGAAATTAACACACCCCCTCTGGAGTCTGACTGGAACCAGGAAATGTTTGACTTTACCCCCCACCCCTTTTAGTATAAAAGAAGCCTGAGTTCTAACTCAGGGATGATGGTTCTTTGGGACACAAGTCCACCACCTCCTCGGTCGGCTGGCTTTCCTAATAAAGGTGTCGTGCCTTGCCCCAGCAACCTGTCTGTCGATTTATTGGCTTACTGGGCGGCAAGCAGTATGAGCTTGGACTTGGTAACACACTGACACATCATTATCACCCCAAATCCATAGTTTAGTGTTCATTCTTGGTGTTGTATGTTCTATGGGGTTCGACAGATGTATAATACTAATTATCCTCATTATGGTACCATGTATAATAGTCTCACTGCCCTGAAAATCACCTGTGCCATGTGTACTCATCTCTTCCTCCTTTATTTTTTCTTTTTTTTTGCGGTATGCGGGCCTCTCACTGTTGTGGCCTCTCCCGTTGCGGAGCACAGGCCCCGGACGCGCAGGCTCAGCGGCCATGGCTCACGGGCCCAGCCGCTCCGCGGCATGTGGGATCTTCCCGGACCGGGGCACGAACCCGTGTCCCCTACACCGGCAGGCGGACTCTCAACCACTGCGCCACCAGGGAAGCCCTCTCTTCCTCCTTCTTAACCTGTGGAAACCACTGATCTTTTTACTGTCTCCACAGTTTTACCTTTTACAGGATATCATATAGTGGGGATCATACAGCATGCATCCTTTTCCAGATGGGCTTCTTTCGCTTAGTGATATGCATTTAGATTCCTCCGTGTCTTTTCAAGGTTTGATAGCTCATTTCTTTTTAGTACTGAACAACAGTCCATTGTCTGATGTGCCGTGGTT